TTTACCTGAGGTTCTGGCTGGGGCAGCCATGTGGCCCCGGGCCAGAAGCCTGCTGGGGGTTCTGGCAGGGGAGCAGGGCCAGGGGGCCCTGCTGTTGTGGGAGCTCATATCACTTTTGAATAGGGTGACCTCTACTGAACAGTTACAGAAGAAGCCACATAGATAATGCCTATATTATTTCCTCTTTCCAGTCTCAACCATCTTTTTAACTTTTAGACCATTATTACACATTGAATAGTGGTCTTCCCTAATCTATTCACAGAGATCCCCAAATTTTCTCTACGTTGTCAGAAAATTATTTAAAACTCATGTAAGAATAGTTCCAATTATCCCCTCCATTGTTCAACACTTTGCACTTGTCAATACCAAACTTCATCTGTAGCAGTGCTGCCCATTCTCTTAAGTTAATGTTATCCTTCTGAAGCCCCTTGCGTTCTTCCCTGGTTTGACTCCACTGATAAAGTTCTTGTGTTTTCAGGAAATGGTGGCATCTTACAGCTCATTCCCATTTCCCAAACTGTTTATAAATCAGTTGTATGTCAAATCTGTCCTCACTGTGGAAATACTTGGGCACTGAACAGCATACTTGATCTTGATAGAAATTCCAAAGGAAAGATCCAAGTGGGAAGAACATTTCCAAAGGACATTTTACAGTTAACTTTCCCAACATTTGCCAGTTTAGTGCTAGATGAAATCTTTGTGAAGACTGGTTTTCAGCTCTGGCCTTGTCTTTCAGGTTGTATTTTGGGGAGAAGGTGGCTCTGTATTTTGCCTGGCTGGGCTGGTACACCTGCATCCTGTCTCTAGCTGCTTTTCCAGGCCTGGTCCTCTTCATATATGGAATCACTTATTTCAATTCCAGTCAAGTCAGGCAAGTGCAACAAGAGGTTACTGTGTGCATAGACCTAGGCATGTCAAGCACATGAGCCTGTGTGCCCAAATGTACAGAGGTATGTGTGACTAGAGAAATTCAGGAGGTAAGGATTTTTGTGGGTGATGTCTTTTATGAGACCAATTGCATAGTTGGTATGTAGTTAGCCAAAATTTTGAATGCAAGGCATTCTTCAGAAATTTACCTATTGTGTATATCATGGCATTCACTACTGGAGCTAAATCCTATAAGCATGGAACTGCTTATGTCTGCTATGTGAGTTCTGCATGCAGAGGGTTTGCAAAGTCATTGGCTTTAATGATAGTTCCACTTAATGAAATAAATAGATCTCCATCAGAAACATTGCAGCAACCCTCCAACTCTGTGGTGGTTATCTGAATGGTCTATGACCTGTAGTCATATGGCTCCTATTGAGTTCACCTGAATGTGCAGGGATACAGCCCCATACAGAGTTTGGCTCACTGTAACTAATAGCATGTCTGCTCTGGATGGAAGGAGTAGATTTTAGGCAATGGGCAACAGACAAACAAGTGCATCCACACTTCCATGTGGGGATTTGTGGACACATCTCTGAGGAGGCTTGTCAAGGGGAAGGTTCCCCTGGCATTAGTATCTGAGAGCTACACATAAAGCTTAATGCTAGCCATTAGTTGGGAAATGAGCCTGCAATCTCTCCTTTGGCTGATGGATGTAATGGACGTATAGAACAAACAAATGATGGGTTGGGTAGAAAAGCAATTGCTTTGTTCCTTACATGCTTTCCTGTTACAGCAAAGAGATTTGTGAAGCCAACACTACCATCATGTGCCCACTCTGTGACCAGAAGTGCCCATTCTGGCACCTGTCTGACACTTGTACTTATGCCAAGGTATGTAAATGCTGTCTACATGTCCTTGTTGCCAATTGCTGCTGTGCTTGGACCTCAGTGTTGTAATCCCAGATCAACTAGTGCCTTAAAGCTATGTGCCCAAGGAGTTCTCACTAGTGTTCACCAGCCCCCTGCCATATATGAGGGAATTACAGCCATATTTGTTGGCTCTTTTCTTCTGAGAGGCAAGGGCTCTCCAGGCTCAGGCTGCAAAGATCCCTCAGCTTGGCTCTTTCTATCCCCCCTAGTATATCCTTAACCTTTGTGGCCAGTCTTTGGCTGGGCTGCAGAGGCCTGATGCTCTGCTGTCCCACATGGGCCTGAGTCCCTTCTGCAAGGAAATGGTCTGGTCTGCTGGTGCCCAGCTCTTTCATGATCCCTTTTTCCTTGGTCTCTTCTTTTCCAGGTTACTCACCTGCTTGACAATGAGGGGACTGTTGTATTCGCAATATTCATGGCTCTGTGGGGTAGGTTTCAGCAGCTCTTATAATAAGGGTTTGAACAATATACAGTCATGGCAATCTGGTTTCTACAGTAGTTCATTCAGAGCCTAATAACATCCATTTTGCCTCAAGGGCTGGTGTCATTTTACCAGGACCACCTGCTCATTTTACCAAGGAAGGGGAATTGGTGAAATTCTGAGAGATTAGTTATGGTGATACCTTCAACTTTACATCAGTATTTGAAATCCAGATGTAGATGTTCCCATCTGACAGCTACTGGGCAGGCTTCAGAGGCCTCCATCACTGTCTGTGGTGCATCACTCACCTTCATCACAGCCAGCTGTGGTATAACACTCCTTGTCTCACTCATGACATGTCCTGTCTCTACCACCTAGTGATTGACCCATCTCACATAACAGCTCAGGCTGACAACCCAAATCCCAGAGGACCATATATTCCACCGTGGGCCTCTCCTCACTTGTGAGTCCTTAGCACCACTGTGTCCATGGCCATTGATACCCCTCCTGCAGGGAAGCAAAGATAGTGGAATCCAAGCCCACCCACGTCCTCTGTAGTCCAGCCCAAGAAGCCTGTAATAAGCATCAGAAAACTGCTGCTTTCTCAGGCCACTACCTACCTTCTTAACCGGGCAGCTTTTTCCCTTTACATTGCTTTTCAGCTTGTAGCTCTGCCATCTCTCTCAAAGCAGCCTGCCATCCCTCCATCTGCTGCCACCATTTTGCCTGAGTCTTTTAGGCCACGTCTACGTGAAATGCTGACTGTGCAGTAACAACTGCTAAGTCAGTGTCTTGTGAGATGTGGCCTTATAGCAGATGTTTCTGTTCAAGTAAACGGTCACAGAGGGCACATCTACACATGCCCCTGACTGCACATTTGGTACTGCAGTCGTTTAGGACTTGCTTTAGCAGTACCCACCTTACGTTGTACTGCACAGTCCCAGCAGCACACAGTTATTTTGAAATGCCATATTGGCATAGTGACGAGCTGCAGCAACATAGCTTGTCCCTCCGGCAATGTAGCATCTCCTGTAGATGGGCCCAGAAAGAGGCAATTAGGCCCACCCTTAACCCTTTCTGGGCTACTGCTGGATAAGGGTGTGTATACCATATCACAGTGAAGCAGTGTGGGATGAGTTTGGTGGACCATCTCTCTGTGGGCTTTAAATACTCCAATGGCAATAGCCTCTAGGCACATAATCCAGTTTGACTGGCCTGGATGGAAATTGAAGAGGTGGTTTCAGAATTTGCCGTGGGCCTATTTCAAGGGAAAGACTCAGGAAAATAAACCCGAATTAACTAAAGGTGGCAAATTAACTGGATTATTTAAACAGGATTAGGCCCCTGGGGTGCAGACTTTTACGCAGCAGGCAAGTGGCTCTAATTCCATTTAGTTTGTTTCGCTTTGTATAGCCAGGTAAGCTAACTCGAATTAAAGCCATTACTCTTCTTAATAAGATCATCCACCCAGGGGAATTAATTCAATTTAATCATTCCACTCTAAAAGTCAATTCAGATGAATTTTTCTGAGTGTCTCCACGTAGATAAGGCCTGTAAGTCAGAACCGTTTCCTCAAATTTATACCAGGGGCCTTTCTCGTCATTACAGCAGCCCAGAGTCCCAACATAAACCTCATGCATCTCCATTTCCCCCACAACTACCCCAGGCTGTACTCTCCGTCCTGTAGCTGCTGCAGGGCAGAGCGTAGAATGCTTTGCCAGTAAGGGAAGGTCCCTTCCAGAGCGAAGATGAGGGGTAACCTGTGAATGGGAGTCTGTTACACAAAGGAAAGGATTGGCCACCATGTTGTGGGAGTCCACTCAGCCCCATCTGGGAACCTCATTCTAGATTGTCCCCATGGTCCCAATTCTTTCCCTGGTGGGCTCATCTACTGGGGGGTCCAGGTGACCTTCTTTCATGCTGGGCATTTAACCTGATTTCCATTTTGCTCAGGAGGCCTTCCCACTTCTAGCCTGCAGGGAGGACATGGGTGCTCTTGTGAATGCTCCACAATGCCCTTGTCTCCAAGGGGAGGAGGTGTCTTTGGTCTATGACACCCTTCCTGAGCATGCTATTTTATAATTACACCTGCAGCCACTTTGTTCTTGGAACTGTGGAAGAGAAAGAGGGCTGAAGTGGTCAGTGGCTGGGAACTGTACGGCTGGGACGAAGATGAGGTGAGAATGAGGTTCGCTTCTTCACTGTCTTCTTCTCTCCTTGCTCCCTCCCTGTGCTGTCATCTTTCTTGACAGGACCAAGGTAAAAATCTAGCTGTGTGCTGGCAAATGGAGCAGAAAGGCACTGCTGAAAGGACACGTGGAGCTGGGCTTCTAGTTTGCAGTATGGGGCAGGGAGGGAAGTGTCACCCTGCTGGATTCCTAACAGGGACCAGTGGAGCACAGTGGGAGGAGTGGGGACCTCAGATCTTCTTGAGGTTTTTAGGAGAGAAAGGCAAGTCTCAAGAAATGTTCTCCTTGCTGTACCTTTAGATGCAGATCTTCCCCCGCAGATGCACACCACAGTAACTGTGCTGTCACTTCTGACGTAAAGCAACAGCCCTGTAGGCACACAATATAAGACAGAGCAATTTCCAGGAACATGTGAGCCTGGCCAAATTATCTGGAGACTCCATTACTTCTATGACTTCTGCTGTACTTCTTAGAGCCCTACTGGGATCCTGCTCCATAAGAACCAAACCCAGAAAATGAGGTGGGGAAGCTCCCTGCCTCTGGTCTCAAGCACCCCAAAGACAGGCAGCTTGAGAGCAGAAGCTGGGGTTGCCTCAGGGTGGTTTCACAGCTCCATTTCCATGTTTGGCATATGCAGGGCAGGAGCCTGTGGCAGGATACGCTGCTCAGGAATGCTCTAAGGTGCACTCTGAAAGCTGTATAAACACAGCCTAGGCCAGCCAGAGTGAGAAAGTCCAAGCTCAATGCTGCAAGTTACTTCTTTTTGGGTTCACCACAATAGAGTCCTGTTTCTCTTCTACCTGCTGGTACCTGTCATAATGTCCCATGCTTCCATTTTCATTGACATAAGGTGCAGTACCTTATGTTGCCCCATGTCTTGCATTCCCCTAAAGCAGGGTTTGGCAACTTATGGCCCATGGGCCACATCCAGCCCACAGAGCTGGGCGGTAAAGTGAGAGGGAGCAGGACTTTTGTAGTAGTGGGAGCTTTGCCCACACCGTAGCTGGACAGAGGAGAGAAGCAGCAGCAGTGGTGGTGGCAGCAACTGCGCCCAGTTGCTAGCCTGTCTCCAACCTGAGCTGGGTCATTTTGGCTTGCCAGCTGAAAACATTACTACCAATGCCCCTAGTGCATGACTTTAATATTCATTCTTTTCCTGTGTCCTCAGGAGGAGCTGGCCTTGGAGCTTATCAATAACCCAGAATATGATCTCCAGAAGTATCAGCACTCTTATTTCCGCAGTATGATTGTGCTCCTCCTGGTCCTGCTTACAGTAGGTGCTATTACTGTTGCCTAACTAGCCATTTCCAAATGCCTATGGATGTTTACAACATTAAGCTATAGGAGAAATCATGCATGTGGCTTGTATCTCTTTTGGATGGCTGTCTCACTTGCAATGGGAATGCCATAGAGAAGCAATTGCAGGGTGACTAATTATCTCAGGAGCTTGGTGATCGGGTGGGCCTTCCCAAGTAGCCAGTTAGGTTCACAACCAAGGTGGTAGAAACTTGGTGATTTCAGTCTAGCTCCTAAAACACAAGGACCCAGTGGCCTAGCTTGTCCTCTACCTTGATCCCATGTGCCGCCAGGGACCTTGGCTGTTGGCTTCTCCATGGAGCCATCACCACAGGCATGTATCTGGCACATTTATGCCCACCCCGACCTCTTGTTGAGGTTCTGACTGCACTTTTCCCTACACTTATTTATTTTTGCACACCCCATCCAAGACCTGGGACCTCCTGTTCGACCTCCTTCTGGCCCTGGCCAAGCTGGCCATTTATCTCACCAGGAAGGAGGCTCTGGCCAGGAGGGTCCCTGGGAACTGTGGGGCCATTTTCCTGTGTCTCCTCCGTTCCTGTCTCCAAGCGGAGCACCACTGGGCAGTAGCTGCCAGCTCTTTGGCCACCTTTGAGAGTCAGTGGGCGCTGTCTGGGGTGCTCTGCTTGGTGTCTCCCAAGGGTAAACTATTTTTGAACGTCTAGCCCATGTGCACACTCCTTTTTTCATTTTTTGTCCGGCATAATCAGTTGGTGCTCTTGTTTTCTCTCACCGCTTCACTGAGTGGCAGCTCTAAGTAATGTAGTGGGCATGTGCCCATGTGTCCAAGGTCATCAAATAGGCCTAAAACACAAGGACCCACATCAGAGTTGACATTACCTGGCACAGACTGTGTGAACATGGGCAATGAGCTATCCTATTAGCCCACTGGGGCACAAGCCAAGTACACTTGCAGGGTAGTATAGTAACTGTGTAGGAAACATGTACTGCTGCTGGGCATAATTTTCATCTTTGGATAAATCAGGAGCTTCTACAGTATTATAGACTCACACTGGAGTGGAAGGGAGGCAGCTCCTGGTGTGGCAAAAGCCAGTTTCTAGCACATACACCCAGTCATTTCCCCACATCTACTCTGTTTGGTCAGCTTCCCCCAACTGCTTTATCACCTCCTCTCCATTCCCCCAGCAACATGTTCTGCCAACTCCTGGATCTAATCCCTCCCAGGTTCTAATGATACCTCCAACCTACAGATAATCGTGCTGATAGGGATTGCCCATGCGCTTGTCATCTACCGTGTGGTGGCCACCGTGATCTTCAGCCAGAGTGACTCTGACTTCATACAAGAACAGGCCAACACACTGGCAGTGTTGACTGGGGCTGTGTTACATTACATGACCATTGTCATCATGACCAAGGTATGGTGCAGCATGGGATGGGGCCTCTCCTCTCCTCTCCTTTCTGCCATCCACCCCCCAGTCCCATCACTGGTCTTTCATTTTGTTCTCCCTCCTCCTTTGCAGGTGAACAGATATATGGCGCTCTTCCTCTGTGACCTGGGTAAGGGGAACCCTGTGTTATATTCACTGTAGACACCACCAGCACAGCCAGCTGGCACCCATCTGAACAGCATTTATTTGTGGATTGATAAAAAACCCTCCCTACAGAAACATGAGTTTGATTTTATAGCAACATCCTGTTCAAGGCAAGATCAGCCCTATCTAAATGATCATGGACAAATGTTTGTCTAATTTGTGTTTAAAAACTTCCAAGTGGTGCAGATTTCACTACCTCTCTTAACAATTTGTTCCAATGCTTAGTCACCCTTGGAGTTAGAAACTGCTTCCTAATATCCAACTTAGATTTTTACTGTTGCAAATGAAGTCTGTTATTTCTTATCCTGTCCCCTGTGAATCCAGAGAATAGCTGGTCTATTTGTAGCAACCCATTTTGTATTTGAAGGCTATTATCAAATTCCACCTTAGGAAAAGGCAGGTCTCCCAGAAAACCAGCACCCCAGTCACAGGGGTCTCCAGAGAGCAAAGTTAGCACTTTGACTGTAATCCAGATGTGAATAGGAAACCAACGTGTGCATAGCAATCTATACACTGGTTCAGGCTGAGTAAATTCAAATTTTAGTGGACGGTAAAGAATACAACAAAGAAAAAAGACTCTCTCTCAAACCATTACTTTTTACTATTATACCAGATAGATCTTAGCAGCAGGTAGGAATGAAAAGAATACACATATGCTATTGCACTTGATTATTTTTCCAGGTATGTTGACTTAGATTTACTTATACAGATGTTATGGGCACAGGTCATCTAAAAACTGAAGTCTATCTTTTGCAAGGCC